AAGAAAGAAAGAAAGAAAGAAAGAAAGAAAGAAAGAAAGAAAGAAAGAAAGAAAGAAAGAAAGAAAGAAAGAAAGAAAGAAAGAAAGAAAGAAAAAGAAAAATGGAGGTCTGACCTCTGGAAACTCTTCAATCCTGATCAACCAGGGATAACCATAGTTCCTGGCCCTATTGTTCGGATCTGGAAGTACATGTAGCTGATGCAGATGGAAGCTGGAGGGGATTCTAAAGTTGCTAGGTGCGTTGGTTGCAAGTGAAGGAATTAGGTTGTCAAATGCTCAGTTACAAGGAGTGAGCGTGTGTGTGTGTGTGTGTGTGTGTGTGTGTGTGTGAATTTGAAAAAGGAGTCTGAGGTCACCAAACTCTCCTATGTTTGCATGGCTCAGTAGTAGGCCTTGTGGTGGTTTGAATGAGAATGGCCCCCATAGGCTTATGTATTTGAATGCTTGGTCCCCAGGTAGTGGAACTGTTTAGGAAGGAAGAAAAGCTGTGGCTCGCTCTCTCTCTCTCTCTCTCTCTCTCTCTCTCTCTCTCTCTCTCTCTCTCTCTCTCTCCTGCCTATATAATGGTCATGGACTCACCTCAGGACCTGTAGGCTCCCATTAAATACTTTCTTTTACAAGACGCCTTGATCATGATGTCTCTTCACAGCAATAAAATAGTAACTGAAACAGCTTTCAGTAATCATATTTTAATAAATTTGAGGAAAATAATGTAATAAATGAGCAATATTAGCAGTGACAAAGAGTGATTTATATTGAGATGAATACTTGTTCTAGAGCTTTTTCTTTCTTAGCATATTATGCTTTTTAATGCCATTTAATATTCTAAAACTATGGACTGTAGTATTGTTCAATTGGTAGGTGTTTGCCTAACATGCACAAAGCCTTGGGTTGAATCTCTATAACTACACAATCAGGTACAATAGGACATGGGAAATGCTTTTAATCACAGCACTTAGGAGGCTAATAAGGGGGTTAAGTTCAAGGTCATTTTTGCTTACATAGGAAGTTTGAGGTAAGCCCGGACTACATGAAACCTTGTCTCAAAAAAAAAAAAAAATTCTAATAACACAATATTTAGAACTGTAGTATTCTTAAAAAGAAAAAAAAAATCTACATAGCAAGTTCCAGGATATCCAGGGCTACATAGAAAGACCCAGTCTCCAAAAAATAAAAATAATAAAGTTCAGTTTTATATGTATGTGTGAGTGCCTGCAAATATGTGTGTGCATCAGCTGCCTGA